GGCCAAATGGCCAGTTATGGCCATGATGGACGAAGGGGAGAAATTCTGGGTGGGGATGGCTGAATATATTTTGGGCTCAGAATGGGAGTTGCAAGATCATACAAAAGTATGGCCTTGTGTTCTTCTGCCCTCCTTCTCCAACATAAAGCCTAAATCCAGAATCTGGAGAAATATTCTGGGAGCTTGGAATAAAGTGAAGCCTAACAAGTGATGCCAATCTACCACGAGGCAGGAGGTGCTCAACCAGCTGCTGTTCGACAATCAATCAATAATGCAATCGGATGCAGCCCCCTTTTCAGCAGCAGACTTAGCAGGCTGCTTTGGTAATTCATGGATTAAAAAAGGAGTGATGCAGATCAAGGACCTGTGGGACAGACTTCTAACAACCTCCTAGATCTACCGACACTCAGAAAGAAGCCGCCAAGACTCCATAATGTTGCCAAACATCATGCGGAGTTATTAGCAGCAATTCCAGGAGCTTCGCTTCAACTTCTACAGCCAGATTCTGAACATGCTGCAAGGACGTGGTTGTGGAATGAGGACCACCCAGGCTTCATCTAAAGAGCGCTAGGCCCGGATCTGGTTTCAGGATACAAACTTCAAATATGGCGCCTGCCAGGGACTCTGACGTAAAAGAAGACTTTGAGACTGGAAGAAGGGGAAGTGAGAGTGGAACATACAGTACATATGGAGGAAGTCAGGATACTTGAGAGTACTGTACAGGCAGGGAAGACGGCGGCTATTCTGCTGCGGAATGCAGATCAGTTTAAAGTTGAGCCGCTGCTTTGCAGATGGGAGTCACAGGAGCTGACTGGTCTATCAAAGTTCACTCCGCTAATACAGTACAAGCCTAAAATCGCGGTTCAACTGCAGCAAGCCCAACTCAAGAAAACAGCAACCACTCTGGCTATCAGGAGAGCGGAGGCACATCAACTTACAGCAGCGAGAACCCATGGGCTACAAGAATTTTGGAAGGCTCTCATGACTACCCCAGTTCAAAAGCATGCTAGCATTATGTGGCTTCAGTCCCTGTTAGTGACAGCTACAGCAATGTGGCTTGCATCTAAAGGGATGGAAGTTTCCACACAATGCCTGAGATGTAATTGGGGATGGGAGAACATGGTTCATCTCTGGCTCTACTGCCCCCTGGTGGACGAGCTTCTGATACGGTGGGAGAAGCACTGGCGTAATTTTTCAGGCGGAGAGATGGAATGGACAGACCAGTGGATGCTATCAGGACTCCTACCTGCAGGACAGAACTTTAGATCTGGAGTGGGCTATATAGCACTCTGTTGCAGAGGGGCCCTGATGGAAGCTATTTGGTTGGCCCGGAATGCTCTAGCATTTCGGGGAGAGGAGACATCAGCTGTTCAACAACAAATTTATATTAAACAATCAATCAGAAGAATAATCAGAGCAGATTGGCAGAGAAAAAACATCATTTGGTTTCAAAAGACCTGGTCTAAAGAGAATAAATTAGCAATCATAGGCCAAGAGGGTCGCCTCCCTATCTGTAAGTGGTTGTCAGATACACATGATTAAGTGGGCTGTTTGCTACGTAGGATGGAACAGTCCAGGCTAAGGTGTTCACTTGAATAGTCGCTGGTAGGCTATGTTACGAAATGGGAGTGCAGCATTAGTTGGAAGTTACCTCGGAGGCCGTTCCCCCCCTTTTTTGGAAAGCCCTATTGGGCCAGTTGGGGACTGAATGGGACGCTGGACCTGTTTTCACCAGAGAATTAGGAGTTACCTAGAGCAGCAGATGGAGACCTGAGCTACGCTCGTAAGAGAAACTGGCTGAGGCTGCCAGGATAACTCCGGGTTGAATTGTGAGGTCCCCGGCCTCACCCTAGTTCTGGAAATTTTATACGTGCTTTCCAGAAAAAAAAAAAAAAAAAAAAAAAACAGGTATCCGTAGCAGGCCCTCCCTTTTTTTTTTTTTTTTTTTTCCCCTTTTGGGCTTCTGGCGGGAATGGGTTCCGGCTGGAAAAGGAAAACGATCCCACTTTGTCAGGACGTGCCCCGTTAACACCTGCCCAGTTCTCTCTCTCTCTCTCTCTCTCTTGGCACACCAAAGTGCGAATGTATCTGGTCCATCGTCTGTGCCAGATACACTGGCACCTTTTTTTTTTTACATGCTAATCTTATCTTCTCTGTATCTTTCCAATCCTCTCTCTCTCTCTCTCTCTCTCTCTCTCGTCTCCTCCCAGTCGCTGCTGCCCGCTCACCCACCTACTCCTGCTGCCTCTCTCTCTCTCTCTCTCTCTCTCTCTCTCTCTCTCTCTCTCTCACACACACACACACACACACACACACACACACACACACACACACAC